AAATTTTTAAAAACTGATTTGTTTTGACTCTTTTCTAATGACATTTCTTCTAGTTACTTAGTAACTATATGCACAATCTATAAACCCATTGAGTTATTTTTATTGTAATTTTTGATCTAGAATGTCCACTTGATTTTTTATTCTAAATACCTAGTAATTCATCTATTTATCCTTTTTTCTACTTTTGGAATATATTAATCATATTTGCTTAAAAGTCCTTGTCCATTAATTCCAACATCTGTACCAGCTGTGGATCTATTTTTTGTCTGATTTAAAAAAAAAAAAAAGCTACCTGTGCATAATCTGTTGCATGTTTAGTGATATTTATCTTGTGCCAGACATTTTGATTAAAGCCTGCAAAGATTCCAGATAATCCAACTTCCCCCTTTCCTCTGTTAGACAGAAGCTAAGCTGAATCAGGGCTTTGATACACTTCTGGTGAGACTCAGGTTCCCTCTAGTTTATCTCTGTGTCTAGGATGTGACCCCTGGGGTTACCAACTGCGAACCCGGCAGATGTTTGCTTCCTTAGTCTGAAACACTGAGAGCCTGCTCTGCCTTCTGGGGTTTCTAGTTTAGGTTCTTAGCCTCTCAACTCAAAGCCTGTCAAGTCGTCTGAGGCCCCTCAAATCTTCACTTGTGTTACCTACTCTCTCACAAATCCCACAATACCTCTGCCCTCCAGCAGAGGGCTCGGGACAAATGTGGGTTCTTGGGCTGTGGCAGGTCCCAGAATTCCTAAGTGACTCAGGTAAAGGCGGCCAGGGGCTCCCAGTGTCCACACATCTTGCCCCCCTGTAGCATCATCTGCTGCCTTGTCTTTATTAAAGCACCTCCAGACCTAGGAAATTTCACTTACAGCTTGCCAGCTGACTCATCCTCTGTACACAGCTCAGAACTCAGAAATGTTTTGTGAGTGGAAAGTGACCACACACTTGAGACTTCTGAAGTCCCTGCCTCAGGACCACTGAAGGTTCTGCAGATTTTGCTGCACTCCACTCTATTAGGCAAGGCTCGTGTTCAAATGTCTCCCATACCTGGCCTTCCCTGCTCTTCTGTCCCTGTGCTCTGTGTGAGGCGGGGCATAAGCAGATGCCTGCCCCACATAGCCCATTTGTTCCTGAACTCCCCTGGGTATGTGGTTCCCACATCTAGACCATGAGAGAAATAGGAGGATGATTGCTTTTTGCTCCTAGGCCCGAGACTTATTCTCCAGTCCAACTTCACATGTAATATTTTAACCCTTGTTGTATTTTTAAATTTTTTATTGTTTTTGGTACCGGGGATCAAACTCGGGAACTTGCACTTACAAGGCAGGTGGCGGAACCACTGAACTAAATCCCGGGCCCTCTTGTTGTATTTTAAATGGGTCAAGCTTCAAGGGTACTAAATATATGTATCACCCACAAATTCATACATTGAAACTTAAATCCCAATTTGATAATATTTAGGGGCCCAAGGGAGGTGATTAGGTGAGAAAGGCTCTACCCTCATGAACGAGATTAGTTTCCTTAGAAAAGAGGTTTGAGGGAGCCTTCTTGCCTTTCTGGGTGTGGATAATAGGAAGCCCCACCCTGGATGTGGATGGTACCAACGAATAGGCTTGTAGCCTTGGTGGAATATAAAGGGAAAAGGAGGCTGCTGCTTCCCTGCCTCCTGCCTGACATGCTATGGACTGTTTCTCCTCTACCACGCCCCTCTGTCATGCCACCCTGCCTTAAGAGCCAGCCGACTATGGACTGAAGCTATTAACTGTGAGCTGAAATAAGCATTTCCTACTTTAACTTGTGGGTATCAGGTACTTTGTCTCAGCAACAAAAAAGTAACTAAGACTTTTTATTATTTTATGGGTTTTTTGGGGGTGGTTTTGGGAATCAAACTCAGCCTTACACATACTAGGCAAATACTCTACCACTGAGGTACACCTCCAGCCCTATAAAATTATATGAATGTGGTAATCTATATCCTATTTAAAATAGACTGTCTTGAGCATAATGTAATCTTTCAAAGTCTCAACTTCTCTTCTCCTAGGTCTCACTACATAGCTCAGGTTGGCTTCAAATTTGCTATGTAACCCAGGCTGGCCTTGAAGTTGTGATCCTCCTGCCTCAGCCTCCTGACTGAAAGGATTACATGTGCGTGCTACCATACCTGGCACGTTCAGGATTTTCTATCTTCTTCTTGTTACCAGATACTCATGTCTGACAGGGGCTTCTCTCCAACCACCAGTTAAATATGTCTAGTCTTGTGTTGGCTAGGAAGCCAGATTACTAGTACTGTCATGACTGTGTGCTAAACAAGAATAAAGACATTCTGAGTGAGAAGCTCCTGAAAAGTCAAGTGACATTTCACTTTGAGTATGGATGTCACTATGGGCACACTGAGGGTCTACTCTGTTGAGTGGCCTCTGGTTCTGCCATCCCCACAGTTGGTCCCCATAGGTGTGAGGGGCTCATCAGTGGGGAGGAGGAGGAGCACTGGAGAATATGGCAACCCCGGCTCAGGAGGATTCTCCAGGTCAGGGTTTGTAAAGAGGTAACAATCGCGGGAGAGACAAGAGGACGCAGCTGGAACTACCTTAGAGGAGAAAAGTCTTGCTTGTCTTATTTATCGATCAGCTCACGCTTAGCAGTGACTCTGAACTGTTTTATTTGACACATCTTAAATACAGCACTGTCATAGTTTCCACCACGAGGTGAGCAGTGGGCCTTCTCAGGCTGAGGCCTGCATGCATAAGGCTGCTTTAGGAATTAAAAGAGTTTTCTCAGGGAGTCAACACAAAAGGAATTCAATTTATTTGGTAAAGCAACACAATTTTCAATGGCATTTATTAACTCTAGACAAATGAATTGTCAGCTTTGGAATCACCGGTAGCTTTGACAACATTAAATGTGTACAAATGTTGAGCCTATTCCCAGATGGCGTTATATGTGTTTTGGGAAAGATCCATGCAGGCGGGCCTACCAACCCTATTACACCAAAACGAGAAAAAGGAAATGACGGTACAACTTTAGTTTCCCTTGTTTTTATATTTAAAAAGGTTTTGTTCCATATAAAATTGTTGTAGTTTTATTTAGATATTTTCACAACTTATTGATCAGTGTAGCTTGCTATGTTTTAGGGGAATTGTCTTGTTTGTCCTATGAAGACACACGTGTGAGTTCTTATGTAAATATACAGAAAGTTGGCTACATTAGTCTAGAATTAGTGATAATAAGACTCTACAATTTTCCAAGGGCTCTAGACAAATCTACTTGAACCCATAGTATACAGAGTTCATTGCCGTGGAAGAAAGGGCTGACGCAGTAACCCTTGTGATTGACTAATTTCTTCCTTTCCCCTCTCCTTTCCTTCTTCCTCCCACTTTCTTGAACAGATTTATTGAGATATAATTCATCCATTTAAAGTAAAAATCAAGAGATTTAAATAACCTCAGGGATATGTGCACCGATCACCGTAGTCAACTTTAGGACATCTTCATCACCTCTAAACCCACCCCATACCTTTTAGCTATCACCCTCTTATTTCCTATAATGTCCAGTCCTAAGCAGCTACTAATCAACTTTCTGTCTCCATAGAATTGCCGATTCTGGTCATGCCACGTGAATGGAGCTCTGGGTTATGTAGCTATTGGAAGCACGGGTGGTCCTGGTTGATGGCCTCTCAGGAAGCCGCAGTTGAGATGTTGGCTGGGTCTACAGCTATCTAAAGACTCACTGTGGAATAGGGCATCCACATGATCGCTGGCAGAGGCCTCAGTTCCTCACCATGGAGGACTCTCCATAGACTGCTTGAATGTCCTCACAGAAGGGCAGGAGGCTCCCCCTAAACAAGTGGCATGACACAGAAGAAGAGGGTCTTATCACACATCTCTTGATTTAGTCTCAAAAGTTGCACAATATCACTTTCGCCTTATGCTATTTGTTAGAAGTGAGTCATTAAATATACACTTAGGGGAGGGAAGGACCCTACTTCTTGAAAGGATGAGGATCAAAGACTATGCAGACATATTTTATTATTAGTAATGTTTGCAGTACATGCACTCTAATCGTCTTGGAGAGTGGACACATGTACATAATACAGCCTTTTTCCTTTTTAAATCCCATTCCCCTGCCTTCCCATCTCCCTCCTCTAAATCCCCTATCCCCATTTTCATTCTTTTTTTTTGGTACCGGGGATCGAACTTGGGACCATGCACTTGGAAGGCAGGTGGCAGAACCACTGAGCTAAATCCCTGGCCCCCCATTTTCATTCTTTTAAAAAAATTTTTATTGGTACATTATAGGTATACAATACATTTACATTTATCATTGGGTGCTTGTACCTGTACATGATGTATCTCGGTTATTTTTTTCCCCATTACCGGTGCGCCCTTCACCCCCTCCACCTTTCCCTATTTACATAGATTTCATTTCCATTTTTTTTCTTTTCTCATAATTTTTCCTTTCCTTTCCCCTTCCCCTCCCACCACCCCTACACCTTTGGACCTTTTAATACTTCAAATTATCAATTATTCATTTTAATTATTTTAATCCTTATTTACACTTTCAGTTTCTCACATGAGAGAAACTATTCGGTATTTACACATGTGTCTTATTTATTTCACTTAAGAGTATGGTCTCAATATGCATCCATTTAGCTATTCATGACTCTAGTTTCTCGTTCTTAATGGCTGAGTAGTACTCCATCTTATAAAAAAACCACATCTTTATCCAGTTTCCAGTTGATGGGCACTTGGGCTGTTTCCAAGTTTTCACTATTACAAACTGTGCCACAATAAACATGGGTACACATATATCTCTGTGGTATGATTCTTTTAATTCTTTTGGGAAAATACCCAGCAGGGGAATAGCTGGGTCAAATGGGACCTCCAGCCCTAGTTCTTTGAGGTATCTCCACACTGATTTCCATAGTGGTTGCACCAGTCGACACTCCCACCAGTAGTGGAGCAGGGTTCCTCTTTCCCCACAGCCCCGCCAGCATTTGTTATTGGTTGATTTCTTGATAGCAGCCATTCTTTCTGGGGTGAGGTGGAATCTCAGTGTTGTTTTCATCTGCATCTCTCAAATGAAGGAAAACCATTTCTTTAAATCAGCAATAATTATGACACCTCTTCAGTATAACATTAAAAACATAAAACACAGGGCCGGAGATTTAGCTCAGTGGTTCTGCTGCCTGTCTCGCAAGTGCAAGGACCAGAGTTTGATTCCCGGTACAAAAACAAAACAAAACAAAACAAAAAAACGCATCTGAGCGCCTCTTACTGAAAAAAATAAAATGCAGGGCTGTGGATGTAGTTTAGTGATAGAGCACTTGCTTAGCACATGTTAGGCCCTGGATTTGGTCCTCAGCATTGCGTGGAAAAAAATCTAACAACTAAGAATACCACATGCTCCATAAAAATCTCTATAAAAGATATAAAAGAGCTGATAAATGGAGAGCTGTTCCATGTCCCAAAATGAGGCAACATATTACATACATGCTATTCCTTCCCTCCTCCAAGTATGGAAACATTTGGTATTTATTTATTGGTACTGGGGACCGAACTCGGGACCTTGTGTGCTTGTGAGGCAGGTGGCAGAACCATTGAGCTAAATGCCCGGCCCTGATATTTTTATAATGAAGATTTAATTTGAACTTTTTGAAAATTTTGCCAAGATTTATGTTAATTTTTTATAGAAAAAAATTGACACTTATAAACAGCTAAGCCCATTTTAACAAGCAAGCATAAATAGGGGTGCTTGCCTTATGAATATGAAGTTCACTACAGAGTTATATCTAAAATAGTGGCATATTGGCACAAAAAGAGTCTAGTGAACTGATGAAACAGAAATGAATGCGGAGAAAGATTTGAATGTGCAGGGGAACTTACTATAAGGTAAATGTAGTGCCAAGCGTGAGGACTGGTTGGCTTGTCATATAAATGGTGCAGGGAAAGTGACCATGATATGGTGATAAATACAACTGGGTGTCCACTAACCCTTCATAAAAATGCACTGGGATTCAGAACTAACTGTCAAAGTTAACCATCTTGTTATAGGAATCTGGAGTAGGGTTCTGGATTCTGCTTCTTTTTGGTACCAGGAGTTGAACCCAGGGCCTTTATGCTGAGCTTCAAAATAAAAAGGGCTGAGGGCCTGCCTTGCAAGCTCAAGGTTCCAAGTTTGATCCCCGGTACCAAAAAAAGGGGGAGGGGGCTGAGATTAAACTTTATGAATAGCCAGTGGGTGTGTAGAGACTGCCATAGCCATTTGGTAAGTCACTTTAGCACTATTTGGTAAAGCAAATATATTCATTCTCATGTGCATAACCATTCTAGTCCTGGTTGAATTTTCAAAAAAATTTCACAGGAGTTCATAAGTAGAATTATGTATGAGGATGTTTATCAAAGTATAATTTATAGTACAACAAGTTGGAGCTCTCTGGAGGTTTGAAGTAGAGAAGGTGGATAGATGGCTAACTTAGAAGGCACTATGCTCATGGACTGGAAGACTTAATGTTAAGATGACAATATTCATCTAATTGAGCTATAGGTTCATCAAACTCCTATCCAAGCCCCTATGGTTTTTCTGCAGAAATTGACAAGCTGATCCTATAATTCTTACCGTAACACAGAGGACATAGAATAGCCAATTATGCTGGTGATGGGACTTTGGGCACGGGGGATTGAGGAGCTTAGAAAACCTGACAGCTAATATTGCACTCACTGATGAAACACTGATTATTATTCTCTGAAGATGTGTAACAAAACAAAGTTGTCCTATCTTGTCACCTACACTCAACAGTGTACCAGAAGTACTTTCCTTCAAATCTGAAGGAAAGTAAAACTATATTTTCAGGTGACAAAATCTTATATGCAGACATTTTAAAGAATTCACATAAACTACTAGAATTAATGAACAATTTCTGTAAGTGTGACAGTTAAGCTTGTCTCCTTGATTGGCTTGGGAGCTGCCTAAGGGATTAATAAAGCACACTTGTTATAACTTCTGTCTAGTCTAGATGTGTCCCCAAAGCCTCATGCAGTCATAGATGGGGCTTTTCATACATGGTTAGATCTAGAGTGTGTATACCAAGACTAAGGATGTGATGCTGGGATTGAGTCATGGTACAATATTAGGACTAAGGGTGGCCTACACTAAGTGTGAATGCTACCCACCCTAAGGGCAGTAGCCTGAATAGAATATAAAAGACAGAAAGAGGGCTATTATGCCTTGTTGCTTCTTTGCTGCTTTCTGCCTGCCATGAACTGTTTCTCCCCTATGATGCCCCTGTGCCATGCTGCCCTGCCTTAGAACCAGCCAACTATGAACTGAAACCTCTACAAACTGAGCTACAATAAATCTTTCCTCCTTTAACTTCAGGTGTTGGATATTTTGTCTCAGCAATGAGGAAAATAACTAAGACAACACCTCTGAATGTGTCTGGCTGGACCGTGGAAGTATAGCCTCAGGGTCCCTGGCCCCTTCCTCTTTAGCACTGTTTTCTTGCTCTGCTTTTCTGCCACCATGAACTAAGCATCTCTGCTCCACCATATTCTTCTGCAGTGTTGCTTCTGCTGTGTAGCCAGCTGGCTAAGGACTGAATCTCTTGAAACCATAAGCCTCCTTTAATATGTGGATGTCTGGTATTCAGTCCCTACAATGAAAAAAATGACACATAACAGGGTTGCAGGATACAAAGTCAATATTAAAAAAAATTTCTATACATTTGTACTTAACATTCCAAAAATAAAATTAAGATTATAATTTTGTCCCCTAGCTCACTTGCCTAGCATGTGCAAGGCCCTGGGTTTGATCCCTCACACAAGGAAGCTACACAGATGTATAAATTTACCCAGAAGTGTTGACTTGTACAGTTATAATTTTAAAAATCTCAGCAAGAGGAAAGGGGTGTGGCAGGGCCGATAAATCAAGACTGGCAATACAATTGTACCTCAGTGTTCTCAAGGAATTGGTTCCAGGATCCCCCTCAGATACCAAAATTGGTGGATACTCAAGTCCTTTCTGTAAAATGGTGAAGTGTTTTCATGCAACCTACTTACATTGTTTTATATACTTTAAATAATTTTTATATACTATTATTCATAATATTTGGGCCTGAATATTTGTTATACTGTATTGTTTAAGGAATAACAGCAAAAGTCTAAATATTCAGTATACATGCAAATTCTTCTAGAATATTTTTCATAATTGGTTAAATCCTTGGATATGGAATCTAAAGATACTGAAGACTTCTTATATGTTAATAGTTGTTGAGGCTCACATATTGGTAACAGGGACTCAACTATACTACTCCTTCTACTTTTGTGTATATTTGATAATTTTCATAATATAAAGTTTAAAAATAAACCAGTAATGTTCTAAGAAAATTGTGTAGCAAAAAAATATATAGTGGTAAGACTGTTTATGTATTCTAGATGTTAGTCCTCTGTCCAAGGAATAGCTGGCAAAAGTTTTGTAGGTGCCTCTTTATTAGCTGTTTCCTTTGCTGTGCAGAAGCTTGTCAATTTTATATGAGCCTATTTGTTGATTCTTGGGATTATTTCTTTGTGCCATTGGGGTTCCATTCAGAAAGTCTTTGTCTATGTCTAAGAATTTTACTAATACAGGGAAAAAAAATTTCAATTATCACTGGCCATTAGAGAAATGCAAATTAAAAATATTCTGAGACACCATCTTTCCCCAGAAACAATGGCCATCATCAAAAGATCAAATAACAAATGCTGTTGAGGATATGGGGAAAAGACTCTTCTACAATGTTAGTGGGGGTGTAAACTAGTACAACCACTATGGAAATCAGTATGGAGAGTCCTCAAAGAACTAAAAATAGAAATTCCACTTGCCCAGCTATTCCCCCCCTTCTAAGTATCTTCCCAAAGGAGTCATAAGTCATCATATTACAGGGATACATACATACCTATGTTTATAGCAGCACAACTTATAATAGATAAATCTTCAAAACAGCATATTTGTGCATCAACAGGTGAAAGGATAAGGAAAATGTATTTATATACAATAGAGTACTACTCTGCCATAAAGAAACATATGAGAATCTAAAAATACATATATGCAAATAAAGAGTGAAATAGAAGATAAACAGGAAATAGGGATAAGTTTATATAATACCCCAAATTACTTATTCCATTGTTTCAAAAATATTTTAATGTATATGCTAATTTGTTTCATTTATACTAATTTATTGAAAAGAAAGTTATGTATTATCTTTTTTTATGAGAATCTGTTTTGTCTATGACTTCTATTCTATTATGAAATTTTAGTTTTTCATGAAATAAAATGAAGAAGAATTATAATGTAAAATAAATATTGTCAAATAGGAAGAAAATGTTTAAATGGTTAGGGGGAACTGGGGTGGAGGAAGAGAAAGGAAAAGAAAATGAGAAAAGACAGAAAAAAATGGAAACAAAGCTTTTATAAATAAGGAGGGGAAGAGGGGTTGGAGAGAGAGAAATGGGGAAAAAAAGAATCAAGATATATCATGTACAGGTACAAATTCCCTATGATGAATGTGATCATTATGAATATCTAAAATGTACCAACATAATAAAAAAATAAGGCATCTAACAAAGTGTCAACAACAACAAAATTGCACATTGAAACTAACTGCATACAACTCTACTTATAAATTCATTCTAACCATTTGAGTTGTCTTTAGCCATCAATAAGAAAAATTTAAAAAATCCATATCACAAGTCATAGGTCTGTGCCCCAAATCCCCAAACACACAATGTTGCCAATGTGCAGCATCCCCATGGAAAAACAAACAAGATCACCCTTTGGATGACCCAAGACACTATACAGGTTGCCTGGCAAAAAGCCATCTGGGACCATTGGCTTTTCCTCCCTCAGTGGGAAGGATTGTGCATAGTGCCTGGAGACGTTGTGGGAAGTCAAGTCTATCAGAGCTGGCCTCCACCCTCCCCAGGACAGCCAAAGCTTAGACTCAACTATTTTCTCCTGTCTGCAAATCTGGCTCCTGGCCACCCTATGAAAATGCACAATGGCAAAAAGGAAGTTCCCCAGGGGAGTGCAAGACAAGGTATATTCAGCTGTGACCTGACTCCTGACCATTCCTTGGGGTTATAAGATCTCAGGGACCCCATATCTTCTCTTACAGACTTTCTGCTTATAAGTCTTTCCTCAAAGCCTGCTTTATATCTTTCCGTATCACTGTACGAGGTTCCTCATTCCACATTCACCCACATTCCACAGGTGGTAGCCAACTGGGAGCGCATAGAACTTGTTCTGATTATTGCCCTTTGAGAACAGAGTGGCCAGTTAGGCCATCCTGGGTGTGGGAGGTGTACCTGCTGAGGGCAATGGCAGACAGTGGCCGAGTTGGGATTGCAAGTAACCAGGTGGTTATGAGATTTATTTCCTTGTACTGTGGGAGCCATAGAGGAGTTGTTCTAACCTAATAGTAAGGTTATGGAAGACAAGACTGCCCATAATCCTACTCCTTTTCTTGAAAACATTTTCAATGTTTTAGGACAAGAAGGAAATGACAAAGGAAGCCTTAGGCTTAGGCCACCATCATAGTGGTGGAATCATTGCCCCCATGTTGACCTAAAATCTCTTAATATGCAATGTGGCAACTGGAGAACCAACAACAGGGGAAAGAAGCGAGTTGAGCTCCATCATTACCACCAGCAGCCAGAGGAGGGGCTAGGAATCTGTTGATTTATGGGACGTGAAGGGACCGCATCAGAGAATTTAGGTGAAATTAGAGATAGGTAATGGTTGGCGAGTTAGTGCAAGGTCCCCTGCTGCCACATGGGTGGTCTAGAGCTACGTGATTCTTGAATTGGGTGCCACGGTCCTGGCATCCACATACCTACAGAGATCTCTCCCAGACCTTGAGTGTAACATGGAATTCTCCTGGTGCTGTGGCCATTTGAGGCAAACCGGTATTTTAGTATTGTTATGTGACGATCCTGAGCAGCAGAAGGAACTCCCAACGATATACCCTCAACTCTGAGTCTGCAGACCTGTTAAGAGTCTACCAAGCAGAAGACATCACTAACCCGGGTCCCTGTGTGGATGAGATGGTAGGATAATGATTTTAGCTGGTATATTCTATGCCTCAAGACAAAGATGGAGATAAGGGGTTAAAGACCCACATGTTTGGTTGTGACAAAGAGGAACAGAAGGGGGCGAGGAAACAGAGGGGAAGACCTCAGGACCAAACTGCTATAAAACAGGAGGATGATGGCTGATTGAAGGGGTTATTACCAAGGAAGCAAAAAGCCTGGCCATCCAGTCCTCAGCTGTGAAAAGGAGTCAGGTTTGTGAAATCAGAGCTGCTGTAGGCTCAGGGATCCATCTTCCTGCTTGGTCCTGCCTCAGGAGCTTAGGAGGTTGCTGAGGAGCTGTATCAGTATCAGTGTGAACTCTAGAACAAGGGATGACCCCCCCCCCCCACTTAGCCAATCTTGGGTGCTGACTACAGGACAAAGCTCAAACACTAACTTGGGACCAAAAGGGAAGGGCCAAGTGAATGCAGGAGACCTCAGCCATGAACCTGGTTAATAAAGAAACAGTAACAGGATGTTAATGGGAAATGGATAAAGTTCATATGGAAACATTAATGGGCAATGCCACCAAAAGGATCTCCCTCCCAGCCCTACCATGCAAGAATAAAGTATAAGAAAGCTTTTTGTAAGCTGGGCATGGTGGTGCATTCCTGTAAGCTCAGTACTTTGTGAGTCTGAAACAGGAAGATCAAAAGTTTGAGGCCAGCCAGGGCAACTTAGCACACCTCTTTCTCAAAATAAAAAATAAAAGGGAGGGGGAAGTTCAGTGGTAGAGTACCCTTGGGTATAATCCCCTGTACCACAAAAAAGGGGGGAAACAAACAAAGCAAGCTTGTAAGTCTGGCTGCAAGTGACTTACATCACCTGTTTCATTCAATGAGCAAGAACAAGTCACCTGGCCAAATGTAGCTGCTGTGGGTCTGGAAGTGTAGTGGCATCACTACCACGGGAGGGGAACATGCTGCCTTATTTCTTACAATGACAGGAGGCTTATCATGCCCACTTTTGCAACCTCCCTGAGCCTTAGAGAGGGGAATTTTCCCAAGTTCACAACTATTATTTGTCAGAGCTGGGAATCAAACTGGATTTGTCTAAAGGAAATGAATCCTGAACTTGAGCCCTTGTTTTCCAGGTGAAAGAAAGGAATTTAGAATGTATTTGTCCAGGTTGTACCTGTTGCCTGGCTGGTCAAAAGACTGGCAAGATTTCCTATAGATGAGTAAACTGAGGCCCAGGGCCAGGTAATCTGTTAGTAGCAAAACTAAGGGATGAGACCCCATGTCAGGTTGTAGCTTTGTCTTCTTCCTATACCACACTGTTGTCATGATTCCCTTTTCTCTTCCTAATGGACTCATTGTGACCAAACTCCTGTTAGTGCATAAGTCCTTTATTTTTTAGTAGGGGGTTATGCATTCTTCAAAGGCAGATACCAAGCAGGTTTACGTGTCATGATAATCTCACAGAAGAGTCTGCTTTTCATATTATTCCTTCCCCAACTTTAGGAGACACGACCAGCCATACTGCTCCCTTGCTGTCCCTAGTTCTGGGAAAAAACAAGGTTACTTTGTGTGTCAGTGTGTGTATGTGTCTTGTTAAGTTGCCCGGGGTGGCCTTGAACTTTCAATCCCCCTGCCTCAGACTCCTAAATAGCTGGGATTACAAGCATTTTAACACCTATGTCTGGAAAAAAATTTTTTTTCTGGTGTTCCTTCTCCCCTGAATTTGGTTTGGAGATTTCCCTTTCTCAAATCTTACACCTGGACCTGACACTTCTCTCCAAAATTCTAAGCCCTCTTTCCCTGGCACTATTCTTCTCTGAAAACCTTTGAATCTTTGGATCAATTCCAAGTACCTTCTGTCTAACAAATCAGCCCTTGTCATCCCTGGCAGACATGGAGAAGAATCTCCCATTGATCCAGCTCTGTCCCCAGATATTCATCTTTGGCCATATCTCCTGGCCAGCCCACAAGGATCACCTTTGTTCTTTCCTATACTGTTTCATTGCCTATAAGTAAATTTCTTACACATTAATAATTTACAGCTGTAGGACACACATACCCTTACTAGTTATATGGGCTTAGTATTACCTGCAACTAAAGAGCTCCATCTATAACACCCCTAGAACCAGAGGGTTATTTATCATAGCTGCTGGAAGTCCAGATCTGCTCTTGAATCTGGCTAAACTTTTGCTTGTTGGGGTTGATTCTCCTGGTGTCAGGAGAGAGTGGGTTGACATCAATCATTTTAGATGCAGAAACCTAAGCAAAATGAAACAAAACCGCTGGTAACCAGAGGCACTGGAGAACTCAAATGGAGATTTCTTTAGAGAAAATTATGGAAGGCAGTGATTATCTTGCCAAGGAATCCCCAAAGTAAGGGGTCTTCCAGGGAAGGAACATTTTTTGTCCAAAGAGGCCAAGGTCCTTTAAGTTTCAATTGGATATAAACAATATCACAACATAAATGAGTAAAAATATTTCTTCCCACTCATATGACACTGAAAATAATAGCGTCCATCACAAATATGTGATATCTTGAGCCTACAAAGCTGGCCATTTGCTTATGTGATTATACATGCTTCTCTTCATTCACTTTTGTGTGTTCAAATCTCATTTTAGAGAAAAATAATGTAATTACAAAGAATCACAGTGTAATAAGGCCATCAAGGATTCTTTATAGACCAACACATATTTCCCTCCAAGATCCCATCTTTTGGCTGAGTTCTGAGGACAAATAGTGAGGCTCAACAGACTAAGGCCCTTTAAAAACACCAGCTCTCTTCCATGCAGCAGCCTTGCAGCCAAATCCAACACCTTTGAATCTTTTCCTGTTCATGTTCTAAGCCTCCGAGTGTTCCTCATCCCAGGAAAGGACAGTCAGTTTTCCCTGGAGAGGAGGTTGGAGTGTGGTCTTCATCCAGGTTAGCTGGAGCAGGTCCTGGGCAGCCAGAGAAAGATATGTGCC